AGGTTTGTAGTTCAAGTGTCTTCATACTGATGTACATCTGCCCAACTGTATTTTACTGAGTCCACAATGGAGATTAATATTTGTCCCTTAAAAAACATTAAAGGTAAAATTAAAGGCCAATTAAAGACATCTCATCCAAATCCTCTACCTTATCACCCCAACTACAGAATGACACTGAGTGGAATGTTTTTAAAGCACCTTGTCTGGGCCAGGTGCAGTGGCTCACGCCTATAATCCTAGCACTCTGGGAGGCCGAGACGGGAGGATTGCTTAAGCTCAGGAGTTCGAGACCAGCCTGAGCAAGAGCGAAAGAGCAAGACCCCGTCTCTACTATAAATAGAATGAAATTAACCAAATGACTAAAAATAGAAAAAATTAGCCAGGCACAGTGGCATGTGCCTGTAGTCCCAACTACCCGGGAGGCTGAGGTAGGATTGTTTGAGCCCAGGAGTTGGAGGTTGCTGTGAGCTAGGCTGACGCCACGATACTCTAGCCCAGGCAAGAGAGTGAGACTCTGTCTCAAAACAAAACAAAACAAAACACCTTGTCTGGAATACTGTAAATGCCATTTTGGTGATTCTTAACACTTTGCTGACTAGGCTACCTAGCTCCTAAGAGGTAAAGTGGTTTGTCCAAAGTCATCTAGAAAGCTGACATTGTGTCAGAGCCAAGAATAAATATGTATTCTGGCTGCAGATGTTTAACAAAAAGGGCAGTATATAACTAAGAGATGAGAGAGCCTAGACTCTTGAAAATGGAAATGAGGAAGAAATCTAAATTTAAGGGTAAACACTGGTGTCAGTGAAAACTATTTAGACATGAATAAGCAATCTATAGTCAGTTTCATACTCTTAGGGATAAATATATATAATTTATACATCTAATAAATAACTCTGGCTCCTAGTCCAGAAATGAGTTACAGGTCTGATAATGACTCAAAAGCCAGTATTCTCCAGGGACATTTATAGGGAATCAGCACGCCAACCAAGCAGAAGACTTCCTGGGCCTCCAATCCTACTGCCAACTATACTTTAGGCCTTCTTTAATGTCTTTGTAGATTTTCTACCCTGTACTAAACTTTCTTGTCCACACCCACAAGATCTGACCCTAGGACACAAAATAGTGTTACCAGAGACTGAAGGTGGCCAAAACTGTGTGGTCCAGTAGGCTAAGTTACTCCTAGGTACTACCACTCACTACAAAAATTCACTGCCTTCACTGTTACTAGGATATGCTGCACTGACACCTGCATCCAAAATCCTCTGCTCAGCTGTTCACTATGCCATTCCAATCTCCCCAGAATGTCCTAATTCCTCATCTCTATGAGATGGCTAGCATTTAATGAATAGTAATATAAACACTTGTCACATGTTCTCATTTGAGTCTTCCAAGAGTAGCATAGCATAATGATCACAAGCAAAGCCCTAGATGGTTCACATGGCTGGTGCAATTTCTTTTTTTCCTTTTCTTTTTTTTAAAATAGAGACGGGGTCTCGCTCTTACTCAGGCTGGTCTCGAACTCCTGAGCTCAAATTATCCACCTGCCTCGGCCTCCCAGAGTGCTAGGATTATAGGTGTGAGCCACCAAATCCAGCCTTGTTCAATTTCTTGATTTACCAACTTTGTAGCCATGTGATCTTAAGTCACGTAACCTATAGCCTCAATGTCCTCATTTATAAAATAGGTTTAGAAATAGCTAATTCATTTGGGTTGCTATGGAGATAAATTTACTGTATTACATTAATATAAACCTAAGTATATTAGTATTTTATTATAGTGCTTAGCATTACAATAAATGCTAGCCATTAGCCCCATTTATAAAGGACAAAATTGAGACAAAGTTCCTGATATCTCCAAGATCACAAAGCCAAGAAGAGGCAGAGCCAGAATTCAGTCAGGAAACCTCCTATAGTCCCAGCAACTCAGGAGGCTTATGTTGGACTATACAGAACTTGAACTATTCAAGTTCAGTCTGGGCAACAAAGCAAGACTGTGTCTCTTTTAAAAAGAAAAAAGAGCTGGGCGCAGTGGCTCATGACTATAATGCTAACATTTTGGAAGGCCAAGGTGGAGGATCACTTGAGGCCAGGAGTTCAAGACCAGCCTGGGCATGATAGCAAGACCCTGTCTCTATAAAAATACAGAAATTAGCCAGGTGTAATGGTGCCTGCCTACAGTCCTAGCTACTTGGGTGGCTGAGGCAGGCCCAGGAATTTGAGGTTGCAGTGAGCTATGATGATACCACTTTACTCTAGCCTGAGCAACAAAGCAAGACCCTGTCTCAAAGAAAAAAATAAAAAACTAAAAACTCAGGAAATCTGATTTTAGAGGCAACAGTTATTCTGTGCCAAGTCAGTTTTCAAATCAAATCCCTTCTCCAGAAAGTTTCCTCTATCTACTAGGACTGCCACATCTTCTTTACCTACCACTTGGCTACCATTACTCATTAACTATAACTAATTCACTAACATAGGTCCTGCCTCCCAAATTCTCAGGTCCAGCCCAAGGCCTCAGCTACCTGAGCACTGTATTTCAAGCATTATAGGACACATACTTCAAATGATTTAGCACTAGACATGAAACTCAGTTTTAAGAATTCCTCTTTTTCTGGAAAACCCACACTCTCACCCTTTATAACCTTTTAAAGGTAGCTATGGAATTTAGGTGAATTTGAATTTTCCATATTACATAGCATACTAGGTCCATAAATCTAGTAAATATATTTTTGTGATGACTTCACCCATTGCATGTTACAGTCCACTTACTTGGCTTGATAGGACAAAGTGCCTGAAGGACCGAGTCTGTGCACACTTTGACAGACCTTAAGTGATGGGTATGACTAGAAAGGCAGCCTACCTGTAGAGGCTGTCCCCTCAGTGATAGTCCATTACTTCCGTTACCAGAGATGGGGCCCTAAGCCTACCTCAGACAGAATTTAAAACAAGATCCAAACCTCAGAAGAAAGTAGGCTGCCAAGGCTAGAAGCCTCTGTGTGGTCTTATTCCAGGAAAAAGCCAACTAAAACTTCTTCAATGAAGACCAAGTTGTAGAGGTGGTAAGTGTAGAAGCTGAATGATCTGAAGATACAGAGAGCCCATTTTCCCAAAACATACATTCAAGGTCTGTCCTCCCATTCATTCAACCCACCTTTCCTCAAGTTATAGGAGGACCCTGGAAATCAGAAATTCACAAAAAGCAAAGTATGACAAGTGGGCAACAGGATTAACAAAGGTGGCATGATTAAAATAAAGAGGGAAAGGAGATTTTATAACAATCTGCACGAGAGAGAAAAATGACAAATGACTTGGCTTTATAGCTCCTGGCTAAACAATGAGAAGTCTAAGGGCTGAGGCAGCAGGGGCACCAGGACCTAAAGATGATAGGCAGTTAGAGCGATCATCCGGGCCAGGCCACCCTGAGGAGCCAGGGCTGCGATAGAAAATATCACCACTGGCCCATCAAGCTGTTTTTTGCAGGAACCATAGCATTGGGACAGTGGCAAAACCCTCACTGGAGATAAAGGAAGATGCAGAAAGCCACATTGACAAAGAAATATTACAAATACACAGGCCACAATCATAGCCCTACAATCAACCCTCAATTTTCCAGGGTAGTAACCAAAGTTTGGCTTGTTAGCTTGGCCCTCAGATAACCCTCCCTCACACAGCAAAGTAACAAGAAGCCTATCAAACTCCTCCTCCCGTTCTTTCCCAATCCTGCAAAGAAATGAAAAGGAGCAGCAAAGCACCTGAAGGCAAAGCAGTGAGCAAAAGAGAAGCAAGGAAAAGAAAGAGCAATGGTCCCAGTATCCCTGAGATTATACCAGTTAACGCCCACAAATAAGAGCTCATGGTCATAAGGCCAAATGATTTTGCATACTGGACAGAGGGAAGAGGACATCTGGGACAAGCTACTCCGTCATGGGCAGGTTCACATGAAGCCAGGGAAGGGAGGCAAGGCAACCCACCTGAACTCCCTTTGACTGCCTCACACACCTCCCCAAAGTCACCTTGCCCCAGCAGCTCCCAGAGTCTCTAAAGCCCCCTTTCCCAAAGGAGCATCATCAGTAGGTTCTCTTGTTATCACCCCATTCAACCAGTCTCCTTCTGTTCACCCATCATTAAGCCCAAGTGTCCATCTTGTCCTAGGTTGGAAATGCCATAATTTTTGCCCAGGTCCTCAATACCCAGCCCTAGAATGAAAGCATAAAAAGAATCCTCTATTCCTCACCCAGCCCCAGCATTCCTTCTCGATGGTGCTTGTACCACCCCCACCCTGTTCCCAGAACCTATCATGATACCTTCAAAAATAAAACCAACAAAAGGACATTTCAAAACCCTAACAGATGGGTATAGAAAAAGGAGTCTCAGGTGACTATAATGGCAGCGGTTGACAGGACGCAGGAAGGACGCTCCATGAAGTTCAACAGGCGAATACCAGGTCTATGGCCAGCATGCCCCAAGTCTGCTTCAAATTTTCCCCACCTCTTTTTCCAACCACAGGGCAGTAGATACTGACATCAGCCCCACCCCACTACTGGCTCCTTTCAGGGTCCCAGCCCCAGCACTCACTCAAGCCCAATGCCTAAAGGATCCACTAGTCTTGTAAACACCAAAGCAGCCCATTATCCACTTCTAGAGAAGCCAAACCCCAAAACCACCCACTGGAGTGCAGGTTATTTCTGAACTGTGGGGAAAGTCAGGGAAAATGGTCAGGCATAGGCAAATGGGCATTATTTATTGCATTTTGGTATGATTAAGTTGAGGGCCAAGGAAGTCCAAGCCACTTGGTCTGGATTCTCCAGTCTTAGAGATGGCAGGCTAGTAGGACGGCGAAGAGCGAGATCCCTCTGGGCCACAGGGAAATCCTTCTCATTCCCACAATCGAGCCTCTTTCCTCACCCACCCTGGGTTCTCTGGCTTCACTCTAGCTGTCATGTCTTCCTGGATGTCAAACTGGCTCCTCTGACACTGAGTGCAATCAAGACAATGACAACCAGGTTTCCAAACTGCAAATTGCCCCAAGTTTTATTTGTAGTCCATACAAAAGGGAAAAAAAATTAAGGTTTTCTAATACCACCTACTTGGGGAGATGGGGAAGTGGGACTGTGCCGCTCACCATCAGCTAGAACATCAGTGGTCAGTAGGGATCTGGACACATACCAACTGACTGTCCGAACAGGAACTCAGTCTCAACACAGTCTACAGAGGGACAGTCAGGGCCCCCTGGACTGCTGGCACAGCTTGGCGCACAGGAAATGGTTAAGCTAACCCTTTCCTGGCCTCCCTCACAACTAAAAAGAAAAAGGCGCCGCCGACCTCAGCTGCAGGTTGTTTCCCCATCCAGACGACCTTAAATATCGCGCACAAAAATAAAAGGGAGCCGGGAAAAAATAAAAACACAAAAGAAACTCCCATTCTGGGGAGATGGGAGGCAGGGTGAAGGGGAAACCGCAGATCTAGAGCCGGTAGCAAGATTTGCTGCTGAGGCGAAGGAACAAAGTAGGTTACTGCCAAACACTCCAAAGGATCGTCTCCTGGGGAAGGCCCACATGGTAGAGGGGATGAAAAACCGCAACAGGGAGACGTATGGGCCAGAGTAGTTATAACCTGGGTCTGTACCCTACCCACCTCTCCTCTCCCTCCCTCCCTGTGGTGCCCCATCCCCAGGATGGCCCTACATGCGGCGCTGGTAGCCAGAGTGCATCTGAGCTGCCCGCAGGTAATCATTATAGGAGCCCGAATAGCGTGCGTAATCGGAATGGGCATCGGGCAGGCGACGGTAATCCAGCGAGGACTTTGTCGGCGAGCGGCGGAACGAGAGCTGCGACTCTGATAAACGGCGGTAATCAGAGAGCTCGGCTAAACGCCGGTCGGAACCATACCTAGTCGAGAGAAGAAGACAGTTGGTGAATGAGACAATTGAGGGGAGAGCTCCAGGTGGGCATGGGGCAGATGCCAATGGGGGACAGGGAGGGTGTGATCAGACTGGTCTCCAACAGATTGGTCTCCTTTTGTCGGAAGGCTCATCACCCTATCCAGGCCAAGAAATCAAGCCTGGGTTCACATGAGTGGGAAATCAAACCCTCCACTGAAGCCCTCCCCTACAAACTGGCCAAGGTGGATGGTGGTCTACATTCCCAAACCACAAACAAACTATCCCCACCCCTGGGCCCTGCACAGAAAGACCTTGGTTGTTTACCAACAGAACGGCGGACGAAAGCAAGGTCCCCAACTTCCCAGAGTGGACGCACCTCATAAACTTGCCTTCAGCCAGTTGAGTGCCAAAGAGACTACTCTTTCACACCCACCCCCACCAAAGCCAGGACAACCAGGTAACAGGATTAAGGATCCTTGAGACAGTGGGAAAGGCTATGGGCCACAATCCTGCAGGCAGTAGCTCCAATAGCACTTGGGCTAGCCTAGACAGGAGACACTTTTCCCAGCCTGACTAGCTGGTACCACCCCAGGCTGAGCACCCTATGCTCCACCTGACCCTGGTGACCAGAAAAACTCAAAGACACCACTCCCCTCAGCCTCTGGACATCCCATGGGAATAAAGGGAAAGAAGACTGAGGGAGGGGTGGATGGCTCCAGTTTCCCTCCCATGCCAACCTCAGCCCCTTGCCCTAAGCCCCAGCTGGGGGCAGAGGCGGGGGGGCATACAGTACCTTTTCGACATGGCGACAGCCTTTTTGTACGGATCGTCGTAGCTGGCCCGGGGTGGGGAGAGGCGGGTACGCTCATAGGGCGGCGGGGTGCTGTTGGCGTTGGCAACGGCCCCCTGGGACATGGACAGGTAGGCTGCAGACGGCTGACCTGCCCCATCGTAGGCATTGCCTGGCTGGCCACGATAGGAGGCAGCAGCCTGGGGATGCTGCTGGGCAGCATAGGAAGCAGCCAATGAGGCTGACGACTGAGTGCGGTAAGGTGCTGCCAGGGTGGCAGAAGGCTGGGCCCCGTAGGCAGCTGCGGCACCATAGGAGCCAGTGGCCGCAGCAGCCGACTGAGCCCCATAGGAGCCTGAAAGGCCCATCGATGCTTGAGCCCCGTAACTATTCAGCTGGGTCTGAACAACTGGCTGGGCCCCATAGGAGCCAGCCATTGGGGTACTGGCTTGTGCAGCATAGGCAGCTGGCTGGCTGGCATAGGCAGCAGCTGTCGCTGGCTGTGCCACATAGGCAGCAGGCTGGGAAGAGTAGGAAGCAGCCTGCTGTGCAGCATATGGGGCAGACTGTGCATTGTAAGAGGCTGAGGGTTGGGCATTGTAAGAAGCTGCCTGAGCTCCATAAGCTAGTGAAGAGGCTGCAGACTGGGCCCCATAGGAGGCTGCCTGAGCCCCATAGGAGCCTAGGGAGGAAGCTGCTCCCTGGGTGTTATAGGAGGAAGCAGCCGCACGAACCCCATAGGAAGAGGCAGCCTGGGCGCCATAAGAGGATGGCTGGTTACCATAGGAGGCAAGGGAGGAGCCCTGAGCCCCATAGGAGTTGAGTGAAGAAGCCGCAGCTGCCTGACCCCCATAGGAGGAGAGGGCCGAGGCTGAGGGCTGGGCTCCACCATATGGGCCGAGCGAGGAAGCTGCGGCAGACTGGGAGCTAGGGCTAGCCAGCTGGCCCCTATATGGGGCCCCAAGGGAGACAGAGGGCTGAGCGCGGTAAGAAGCTGCCTGGGCTGTCATGGGCTGAGTCCGATAGCCGACACCCAAAGAGGCAGAAGGCTGGGCTCTGTAGGCAGCTCCCAGCGACACTGAGGGCTGGGCCCGGTAGGTGGCTGGCTGGGCCGTCAGAGGAGCCACATAAGAGGCCCGGGGAGGTGAACGGCGCAGAGGGCTGCGGTCGCGACCAAAGAAGGGTGGTGTGGGCTGACGTGCTTGCCCATCAAAGCCACCAGTGCTGTTGCCAAAAGCCTGCTGGTAGTCGAAGGTGGCAGAGAAGCCACCAGCTCCAGGGAATGCCGTATCCCCAGCCCCTGGTTTCTTGGTCTTGTCCCCAGACTGGATAGCCAGGCCAGGCCCCTTCTTCTGACCCTTGGTGGAGAGTTCCACGTTGATGCGCTTGCCCTTCACTTCTTTGCCGTTGAGCTGCGCGATGGCGGCTTTGGCATCTGCTTCCTTCTCCATGTGAACAAACGCGTAGTCTGATAAAGCAGCAGACAGAGGGTTAGCAATTAGGGGGGCAGGGCATGCTACCTGATGGGTCCCAAATTGGACACACAACAGCGCCCAGCAGCTGTTGTCAGCTACCTCCAGGCCTCTAAACCCTCCTCTCCAGGAGTATGTCATAAAATGTGGCTCCCATATAACAAAGCTTCTGATTGCCCCAAATCATCTTTGCCTACAGCTTTCTCCCCATTCTCCGCTTTCCCCCTTGCCACCTCACCCAACTTCCTAGTGAGAGAAGAAAGAGCAAAGATGAACTGCAACACAGGATAAAAATTCACAGCTCCTGTAAGTATAAACCAGCAGAACAAAATACAGAAAGGGTTTCTGGACCAATTATTTAGTGTTCTCAACCCAAGCTCAACAAACACTAATGTTCACCTTTGAGGATTAGCTCTCAAACACTGGAAAAGACCATTCATGTTTTAACATGACCCATCTCTCAGCCCAGGTCCAGTTAAGGCACGAGAGCTAGACTGCAACAAATAAGCAATTTACAAAATTCCTCCAATATGATCTGCCCCCTTTTCACAGTACTTCCCAAGTTTTCAAAGCACTTCCAGGCACAGGATCTCATTTGAGCCTCACAATAATGCTATGAGGTAGGCAGGGCAAGAGATCATTATCTCGATTTTACAGGTGAGCAAGCATGCTCAGCATTTCTATATGGTTTACCCCAAATCAAATTATTACAGTCAGGACCAAAACATCAGCTCTTCCAATATGACTTTGCTATACCAGTCTATCCCTGAGAAGTCAACATATAAGGCAGGACTGTGAAATATGACTGAAAATTTAGGCTCAGAAGGGGAGAAGATGGACCCATGTAAGCCAATGAGTTATGGGAATGGAAATGAAGCCTACTGGCTGAGATCAAGCCCAAGCCCCCTATTGTGCCAGGCCACATTATATCCTCCACTGTTTCCTCTTTACATGACAGAGCTACACCTTATCCATTGGGCTTCTGTTTACAGAACAGACTGCTTGCAGGACAAATCTCGTTTCTCAGCTATAAGGCTAGAATAGAAGCTGCAATGACTGCAGCTAGCAGACTCTGCTAAGCAGGTTATCCCTGAGGCTCTCAGTAAGATCTGAATGAACAGTGGTGGGAGAAAATCTAAGACAGGATGTTGATCTCAAAGTTCTACTCATCTACCACATAGAAGAGGAAAACTTCAGATAGAAGAGTGGGAAGAAATTCTTATTGAAGTCCATACTCACAAACCACAACAGTGCAAGCAGGAACTAAACAATGATGGGATTAAGCCCCTAGAAAATAAGGCCATACACTTAACCCCATTCTCAACCTGTGGCTACTTAAGGACAGAATCCAAGTACCAGGATTGAATTCTGTCGCATCAGTTTAAGAAATGAAGTGCTACCCAGATGAAAACTGTAATACTAAAGTTCCATTCTCCAAGATAAATTATTTTACTAGCCTCCAAACAAATGTCCCAAGTTTTTAGAAACTTACAAACCAGATGCCCTCTCAAGCTGCTCCTCTAGAACAAGTCCATTTCACTGGATTTGAAGGCAATGCCACCAAACTCATATTAACAGGAATAAAAATACAATTAATAGAAGTCAAAAGTGTGGTAGAGCACAAAAGGGATACTGAGCTAAGAACTAAAAGGCCTCACTTCTAGATCCAGATAACACTGACTTGATACAAGATCTTAAGTAACTTACCATGTGTTTCCTTACCTGACAAATCTATCCTACCTACCTCAAAATTAGGAGGTTCAAGTGAGAAAACAAAAGTACCTTATAACTAGCTATCATAGAATGATAAGGAATTATGATTACTCAAACCTAAGAATAGCCAGAGGCTTATTTCCCTACAGAATATTATCTTTTGTCTCTAATAAAATACAATGCTATCTGTACATGCAAACTTAGAACATGCCATAGATGACAAAAGAACAAAATAACTATCACAACTCTCAGTCCCCAGAACCCCGATGCCCAGAGCCTTATCTAATGACTGTGAAAAACCATTTGTTTCTTTCAGCCTAGTCAGGGTGCACTAGAATTGTCCTCAGATTTCCCATCTCCATTTTAGCTAGAGTGAACTAAAAATAGCAGCAGGTAGTCTAAGATCTCTAAAACAAGAAGAGGCTGAGCTGACCTCCCAGGTATGGCAAAACCACCTGGAGAATGCAAGGCAAGCAGAAGGGCCCATTCAATGTGAAAAGGAAGCAGGAAAACTGCTAGAACTTGGAGGAGGGGGGCAACCTCCAGGCACCAAACTAATGTTCCTGATTATTCTATCCGCAAATTTCTGACACTAGAATGAGCTAAGAAAAATACTCAACAAAAACTTCCATGGGTGTACAAAAGCATTTGGACATCCCGTTGTCTACTCCCTACTTAGCTGGATTTTATTAAGAGACCAAGTGGTAAAATTTGAAAACTGAGACTTCACATGTGCAATTCAACTGACTGCCCAGATCAACTATATAACTGATCCAAACAAAAAAAAATAGCCATCTGATACAATTATAACCAAATTATATCAGGGAGTTTGTAAGCCTGATAACGGAAGTGTTCATAGGTTGTCCAGCTGACTCAATCGCATCAGAGCTAACTAAGCCCCACCACAGTGAGCACCCAAACTCAGACCTAGTACTCTCAAAGACACCCAGAAACCCAGCTACAATGAAGAAAAACCAGAGATTTGATTCTCCTGCCTGGAGAATTCTAGTTCAAGGTATCCTCTGAAGGAAATCACTGCATTGGGACTAACAAGTAATGTTTTGCCGAGTTCTTCTAATGGCCTGTTGGCATCACAATTCCCCAATATTAAAGTTAACAAAATCCAGAAAAACGAGTTATCCTATCCTGAGAAAACTAAAAATCTTTAACTTGAAACTATACAGCTCTGTATAAGAAACAACAATGGTCACCCACAAAAAAGGAAAGGAGGTATTTTCCTCTTAAGCCTTGCAGACCTCTCCTGGTCTGTGTGTGATTCCTGAAGCTGTTCATCTTTGAACACCCAATAGGATGTAGCTGTGGAGAGTGGCTGCAATCCATTGTTGCTGTTGTGATTTCTGCTCTCCAAATCATATATAAGCAGCTTCTGGAGTAACCAAGCAACTATGTTTTTTTTTTTTTTTTTCTGTGAAATAAAACAGAGCTGGTTGTCCTATGCAATATCAAGCTTCTATGCTTTTCAAAGACGTGACAATCAACTCCGAGAGACTCAATCAAATAACCATTTCTAGCCCAAGAAATAAGTAAGCTAGTTATACAGCCAGTCTCTTCTACTACATTTTCAACTTTAAAACCTCACCTTCCTTTATCCCAAAGAGATAAAAAGCCATCAGTGGAGGATATGATGCTCAATCTTTCCCACAGTGTCTTACATTAAAGTATATGACGAGCTGTGTTGTATATCAGAATAACTAACAGTAACAGTTGAACACCACTGCCTGAGAAAACCAATACATTTCTGTTAATCAAATGTTTACAAAGGTACAAAATGCACAAACTTTCCCTCTAACTCTCATAGGAAGTCAGCTAGGAGTTCTAAAACGATGTGCAGTTATTATGCACTTCACCCCCACTGTCACTCAATGTCAATTTCAAGCAAATTCAGGCAATTTTTTTGCTTTCTCTGCCACATGAAAGCAAGCTTCTTGACCATATGAGCTGGATTCTAGTCGACTCCCAATCTAGTAGTCGCCCAGTCTAAAAACCACAAAAGAAACTTGGTAGGTCAATTAAATAGCTCTCAAAGACTCGTATACTCTCTCCATTTGCTGGCCAAATACCCAATCTGAGATCCTCCCATTCTTTAACTCTAAACAAAAGCAAAAATCCATGCACCATACAGCCTGCCTCAGAGCACCCAGCAGGAAAGCCCGATTCTGGATAGTCGTAGACTTGCATAACCTGAGTTGAGGAAAATAGAATGCAGTATTAATGCAGAACAGGAATTGTTCCTAGTAGTGGAGACTGTGACCCTTTACCCTTCCCCCCACTTATAGAAAGGATATGGAATGGCCCAAAAGATGTGTCTTTCCAGGACAGCAAGTGAAATATCTTGGTGGAAATGAATAAGCACCTGTACCCCACATGTATTTACTACCCTCAAAACTGCTCACACAGGGTATGAATGGGAACGGGAGGTAAGGTAAGCATCCAACACCAGGAGTAGGGCATGAGATAACTCCCAGGTTGCTTCCTCAAAGATGACAGGGCAAAGTTAACTCTGATCTGTTACCAAGTGGAACAGAAACTGGCCACAAACACAAAGGCTGTCCCACCAAATCCTGCCAACATAAAACAAAAAGACCTTAGGGGATAAAAACCCAGACTATGAAAAAAGTCAACTGGGTGTCTACTCAGGCCTAAATTATGGTGACACATTTTTCTCAAACAAAAAGGCAAACTAGGGATCTGCCCGGAGGATTAGACTACTCAAGCAATGACAACTACTGATTCAGTAAATCGTGTTTAGCCAGTGTTTAACAAAGACCTCTTACACACTCCTCCCCATGACCCTCTTAGCCAGAGTATGCCCCCTTACAAAGTCACCAAGCTTATATAAAAGAATGACACTGCCCTGAGGCACAGGCTTGGCAAGTAAAGACTACAAAGAAGGGGTCTTCATAAAATAAGCTTCCTTCTACATGCAAAAGGTCGGGGTTTTCAGTTGACAGATATGAAATTGAGCCCAAAAGAAAAAACCCAAGTTTGAGGGAGTTGGAAAGCACAGAGCTGCCACGCCTAACCTACCTAACACTGAAAGGCCAAAGTGGTTCCGGAGGGGCCCCTCCTGTACCCACGAGTAAGTGTGTCCATGAGTAGACCCATTCCAGACAATACTAAGATCCCAGCCCGAGAAACGTCCAAGGGCCCCGTTACCTTCCGCTTGTGAGCATTCACCAGGAGGGAACACGAGGGCGGCCTTGGGGCGTCAGCCCCCACCTTTTCCCTCTTCCCTGGATCTGACCGACGTCTGGAGAGGAAGTGGGGAAGTGGCGAAATCTTCCCCGCTCCAAGATCCGGCTTGTGCCCGTCACTTCCCAATTTCCGCTCTGTTGCCAGGCCCAGGAGACCAGGAGAAAGCGCGCCCCCGGAACACTCTCAAGTCCCTCAGGCGCGTCCCCGGCCCCGTAGCCTGGCTCGCAGCGGCCGCCGCACCCACCCAGAGCCGCTTCCTCCCACTTGGTGAATGGTGCCTGGACCGCAGGGGAGGAGGGTGGCCCCCAACACCTCCGGCCTGCTCCCGCGCATTTCCCCACCCGGCCCAACCACGCAGTGACCGACCCCGGGTAAGGGGCGTGGCTAACAGGCAGAGTGCCCCGAGCGCGCCCCCGCCCCCGAACGCGCCTCCGCGTTACCTTTCACCACGTCACACTCGATGACGCGTCCGCGGCGCTCGAAGAGGCTGCGCAATTCCTGGCTCGTGCATGCAGCCGATACATTGCCCACGAAAATCTTCCAAGTGTTAAGAGGCCTTGGGCGCGACATCTCCACCACGAGCGCGCGCCCCGGCCGCAGCTCGTGGCCGTGCAGGGCCTCGATGGCGCGCAGCGCGCCCGCGTTCTCGCGCATGTGCACGAAGGCGAACTGTTTCATGACGGCGCAGCTCATGACCGTGCCGTAGGGCGCGAAAAGGGCTGCCAGCTCCTCCGGAGTCGTATCCGCCCCGTCGACATTGCCCACGAATATCTTCATTTTGCCGCCGCAGCCGCCTTCCCGGAGAGCCGGGACCTCTCCTCAAGCGACAAGCGAGACGTCCGACCGACCGGCAGTCCTCCCCAGGAATGGCTGGCCACCGAGAACCCCGCCGCGCAGGCGCCCTGACCTAGCCAATCGGGACGCGCATCCTGCGCGTCTGGCAGCCAATCAGAGAGTCTGAGAGAAGATGCACTCAGGAGCAGCCAATCCTAGAGGGCCTGGAGCCCGCTCGTTAGCCGAGAGGGTGGGAGAAGGACGACGGCGCGCGACCAACCGCCACAGCCGGGGGGAGGGGAAAGGAGGGTTGGAGAGAAGGGAACGCGCGCTCGATCTGCGCTGGTGGCGGAGAGGCCTAGCCTGTGAGGCAACCTCTGGCTCGGGTGGGGCCGAGACCGGCAGGCCCCGAGGAAAAACTCTGTTCAGTTGGAAGTCAGGGCTCCTCCCTTCTGGTATCCTTGGCTAAACCCGCGCTTGGAGGTGGCCTCGTTGGGTGTCCACGGGAAGGCTGGGCCTGGCGGGAGAATCCAGGACAAACGCCTTCAGTCAGCAAACGACTCCTGAGACTGTGCTGGGCGGTCCGAGGGGACCTGCGAGCATGCCCCGGAGAAGCCCCGGAGTGCCATTAATTCTTTCCTTGGAAGCACATTCCCTGGGGTTGCTGAATTCCTAGCAGATGGTGCAAAATCAAAGGTCTCTGCCCTGAGGAAATTTCCAGTAGAGAAATAATGTTGTGACTCTGTTGTATGTTTGAAGTTCTCCACAATAAAAAGCTTAATAAAATAGAAACTTAAATCAAAACAATCCTTGAAGAGGCGAAAGTTCAGCCTTTTTTTTTTTTTTTTTTTTGAGACAGTCCCGCTTTGTTGCCTAGGCTAGAGAGTGAGTGCTGTGGTGTCAGCCCAGCTCACAGCAACCTCAAATTCCTGGGCTCAAGCGATCCTGCTGCCTCAGCCTCCCGAGTAGCTGGGACTACAGGCATGTGCCACCACGCGCGGCTAATTTTTTCTATATATATTAGTTGGCCAATTAATGTCTATCTATAGTAGAGACGGGTCTCACTTTTGCTCAGGCTGGTCTTGAACTCCTGACTTTGAGCCATCTGCCCGCCTCGGCTTCCCAGAGTGCTAGGATTACAGAAGAAACAGATTTTCTATGAATAGTCAGAAATTTGATTTTGGGCTGGTCGTGGGAGCTCACGCCTATAATCCTAGCATTCTGGGAGGCCAAGGCAGGTGGATCATTTGAGCTCAGGAGTTCGAGACCAGTCTGGGCAAGAGGGAGACCCCATCTCTACTAAAAAATTAGAAATTAGCTGGACAACTAAAAAAAAAAAAAATATATATATATATAATTAGCTGGGAATGGTGGTGCATACCGGTAGTCCCAGCTAATCGGGAGGCTGAGATAGTAGAATTGTTTGAGCCCAGTAGTTTGAGGCTGCTGTGAGTTAGGCTGACGCCAGGGCACTCTAGCCCAGGCAACAGAGTGAGACTCTGTCTCAAAAAAAACAGAAAGAAATTTGATTTTGGAGATTGCTATGGTCTGAATATTTATATCCTCCAAAAGTCATATGTTAAAACCTAATCACCAGTGTGATGGTGCTAGGAGGTGGGGCCTTTGGATGGTGATTAAGTCATGAGGGCAGAGTCCTCAAGAATAGGATTCAGGCAGGCGTGGTGGCTCACCCCTGTAATCCTAGCTCTCTGGGAGGCCGAGGCGGGCGGATTGTTCGAGGTCAGGAGTTCGAAACCAGCCTGAGCAAGAGCAACACCCAGTCTCTACTATAAATAGAAAGAAATTAATTGGCCAACTAATATATATAGAAAAAATTAGCCGGGCGTGGTGGCGCATGCCTGTAGTCCCAGCTACTTGGGAGGCTGAGGCAGTAGGAGTGCTTGAGCCCAGGAGTTTGAGGTTGCTGTGAGCTAGGCTCACATCACGGCACTCTAGCTGGGACAACAGAGTGAGACTCTGTCTCAAAAAAAAAAAAAAAAGAATGGGATTCATAGTCAGGCTTGGTGGCACATGCCTGTAGTCCCAGCTACTTGGGAGGCTGAGGCAGAAGGATCGTTTGAGCTCAGGAGTTCAAGGCAGCAGTGAGCTACGGTGACACCACTGCACTGTAGCCCAGGAGACAGAGTAAGAAAAACCCTGTCTGAAAAAAGAGTTGAGAATTTATTGATATAGAAAGATGACCATAATTTAAGAGGGGGAAAAACAATGTAGTTATATAATATCACATCTTTCTAAGCCATAGAAAGAAAAAAACCCTCCATATCTATCTGTTTTTCAACATAGAGAAAAAAACATCAGACCTGGCACTCGAGGTGGCTCACGCCTATAATCCTAGCACTTTGGGAGGCTGAGGCAGGCGGATCACTTGAACTCAGGAGTTCAAGATCAGCCTGAGCAAGGGTAAGACCATCTCTACTAAAAATAGAAAAAATTAGCCAGGCATCGTGGTGAGTACCTGTGTAGTCCCACCTACTCAGGAGGCTGAGGTAGGAAGATGGCTTGAACCCGGGAGTTTGAGGTTGCAGTGAGCTACGATGAGGCCATTGCACTCTAGCAGGGCAACAGAGAGCAAGATTCTGTCTCAAAAAAAAGCAAAAAAAAAAAAAAAAAAAAAGGACATCAATTACCTCAAGGGAATGGAATGAGGAGTTAATTTTTTCATGTTTTTTATATCGTTAAACATTAACAATGAAGATTCAATTATTTTGTAATTTTAAAAAGTTGTTTTAAGGAGGAAAAGAGGGGCAAGAGGTGTCTCCCGAAATCCAAACTGCTGGCAGTATTCCCAAAGCAGGATACTGACAAGCCGCTTGCTACCCAGTAGGCATAGCCATTATCACCAGGGCAGTGGTTCCATGTTTTCTGGTGGGGTTTAGAGTCAGAACACTGTGCAACAGAAATATAATGTGCCAGCCATAGGTGCTTTTAACTTTTCTAATAGCAACATTTTTTTTTTTTTCTGAGACAGTCTCACTTTGTTGCCCAGGCTAGAGTGAGTGCCGTGGTGTCAGCCTAGCTCACAGCAACCTCAAACTCCTGGGCTCAAGCAATCCTCCTGCCTCAGCCTCCTGAGTAGCTGGGACTACAGGCATGTGCCACCATGCCTGGCTAATTTTTTCTATATATTTTTAATTGGCCAATTAATTTCTATTTTTAGTAGAGACGGGGTCTCACTCTTGCTCAGTCTAGTCTCAAACTCCTGAGCCCAAGCAATCCTCCTGCCTCGGCCTCCCAGAGTGCTAGGATTATAGGCATGAGCCACCAAGCCTAGCCACAACATTTTAAAATGTAAAAAGAAACAAGTAAAACTAATTTTAACACTATACTTTAACCCAATATAGCTAAAATATTATCACTTTATAATATATCAATATAAAAATGAGATATTTTACATTCTTTTCCTTGTACTAAGTCTTCAGAGTCCATTGTGTATTTTACATTTACAGCACATCTCAATTTAGACTATCCACATTTCAAGTGCTCCATAGCCATATATGGCTAGTGGCTGTGGTATTGGCTAGTTCAGGTTTAGTCTTCCTCTTAAAAATGGCCTTTAGATTCTACAGGAGCATTCTTTGGAAAAGCAGAGCTTCAACGCTGAAGATGTATCTGATTTTAAAAATAGCCCCACGTTCTTCAGAGCCAAGTCTGGGAGATGAGGAGGGACAGGGGCAGAAGGGGGTGGCAGAGAACAGGAAAATCAACTCAGAATTGCGTCTCAATAAACACTGTCAAAGCTACAAACATTCTTTGAGATCAGTTAGGCCAGGCCAGGCTGAACACTTTACAGATGAGAAACTCACTGAGGGCTGAAGGAGGGAAGGGGACTGCCCATCTTGATCATCAAGCTGGTGGTGGAAATGGGGCTAGTGCAAAAGCTTCTTGACCATTACCTCAGGTCAAGAAGCCAGATCCTTGTTCAAACCTCAGTATCCTGATTTTCCAGCTCTGTGAGCTTTGGCAAGATTCTTTACATCTATGAGCACCATCTTCCTTACTTATAAAATAATGCTTTACCATCTTTTTGTTTTCTTTTTAAACATAAAAAGATTTTTTATTGTGAATTTTACTATATATATATCTATATATTTTATAGATATAAATATTCTATAATTTTACTGTATCTGTATCTATATATCTTTTACTATGGTAAAAGTTAATACAAAATTTGCCATTTTAACCTTTGGTGTTTTTTTGTTTTTTTAAGAGATAGGTCTTCTTATCACCCAGGATGGAGTGCAGTGGTATGATCATAGCTCACTGTAACCTCAAATTCCTGGGCTTATGCAATCCTCTTGCCTTAGCCTCCCAAGTAGCTGGGACTAGAGCTGCATGCCAAGATGTCCAGCTAACTTTTTTGTAGAGACAGTAACTCAATAGACTGCCTACCCTGGCCTCCAACTCTTGGCTTCAAGTGATCCTCCATCATCTGGGATTCCCAAAGTGCTGGGATTTGTGAGCCACCACACCCAGCCATTGATTGATGGATTGATTGTCGGTTTCTCTATGTTGCCAAGGCTGGAATGCAGTGGCTTTTCACAGGTATGATCACAGGGCGCTACAGCCTCAAACTCAAGGGATCCTCCCTCCTTAGCCTTTTGAGTATCTGGGACTATAGGCACACACCACTGCACCAGACAACATGGGCAATCTTACTTATCACAATAGACCTTTAACATAAATGTATTAGTATTTCCATTTCACAGAGGAGACTGAGGCAAGGAGACATTGTTCAAGTTCAAATGGTTAGGAAGTAGTAGAGCTGGCATCTGCACCCAGAGCCCTGTATATGTGCATGAGTAAGAATGGTTATTAAACGTGCCCGTACACAGAACGTAAATACAGCTTTGATAACATTAATGAGGAGTTCATCCATTATTTAAAGATGTTCCTTTGGGGCAAACACTCTTCAGAGCTGGAAAAAGATTTGTTTTTAGAATGTCTTTAAGATAGTGGCCAACAGAGCAAGTGAGGATTTTAAAAAATAAATAAATAAGGAAAGATGAAAGAACTTTCACAGACTGGAGACTAGGGAGACACAACAACTAAAAGCAATGTTTGATTTGGGCTTGGATCCCAAAGAAGAAAAAGAACATTTGTGGAAAAACTGATGAAATTTGAATAAAGTCTGCAGTTTATAGTATTTTTTTTCTTTCTTTCTTGAGACAGAGTTTCACTCTCTTGCCCAGACTAGAGTGCAATGGTGTCAGCCTAACTCACAGCAACCTCAAACTCCTGGGCTCAAGTGATCCTCCCACCTTGGCCTCCCAGAGTGCTAGGATTACAGGTGTGAGCCACCATGCCCGGCCTAAATTGATTCACTTT